AAAGGCAACAGAGGAGCGATCGTACATAGGCAATAGAAGATTAGAAGGGCAATCATCGTGCATAGGCAATAGAAGAATGGTTGTTGTGATATTTGCCTCAACAAAAAAGTTGCAACTGATGAAAATATGGAAGATTTAGGGGGAGAGAAGGTGGTGAGGGAGAAGGAAGCAATAGGGGAGTAGTCATTACACATAGGCAACATGAGAGTAGCTATTGCCATTTTGGCTTCAACAAAAAAGCCGCGATCAATGAAGATTTGGAGGATTTGGGTTAGGGATGGGCATAGACGAGTTGGGTAGGTGCATGGGGCGATGAAGGTGATAGAGGAGCAGTCTTCACGACGATGGAGCAATAGAGGGAGAAAAGCTATGGATCTCCTTGGTAAGTGTGGGAAAGGAACAATATGCAAAAGTTAACTTTCAATTTAACGGTTAGATTTACAAAATTCATATTTAATATAAGGTTATTGAGTGATGTAATACTTAATAAAAGTTACACTGATGTTATTATAACCCTTCTCATTTTAAAATATATAAATTATTATTTAAAATTTTAAATTTATAATAAATAATTTAAATTGTATCATAATTAATATTAATTTTAAATAGAAATAAGTAAATTATTAATTATAAAAATAAGTATATATATAAATAAAAAATAATTAAATATAACATAATTATTATTATTGTTAATATAATTATTATATATATTATTATATTTTTATAATGGTCCGGATATACCAAAATGAGAGGGGTCTAAAAATAGTATAAGTATGAGATTGTATAGTTGAGAATGACTTAAATAAATTAATTTGTATTACCTATACTAACAACATGCATCTGCGCCTCTCGATAGCTTATCTCATCAGAACTCCATAGTTAAGCGTGATTGACTTGAAGTAATATAGGGATGGGTGTCCTTCTGGGAAAATTTTCAAAAATTGTGCAATAAGTGCAAAACACGCTGAAAAGTGAAGTGTCGTGTAATAGAATCCTTGAGAGGTCAAATATGAGGGATTTATCCGTTGGAATCATATAACACTAGTACATAATACACATTTTATGTAGGTCATTTTAGGGGTTTTTACGTCAGAAAAACTTCTGACGTTGAAGCGAGAGACGTAAATTTACGTCGGGGCGTGAAAACCGACGTAAATTTACGTCGGACATGCCAAGGTCCGACGTAAAAAAGTTATAAAAATTTTAAAAAAAAATTGAGTGCAAGCAGAACGGCCCGTTCTGCTTGATAGACCCAGGAGTGGGTTCTCCAAACCCGGACTTGGTCACTTCCTTCTCCAGCTTCAAAAACTCGCGCGAAATGCTACACAAACATTATTACGAAAAAAACATCCCAGAAAACACAAACTTGATAGAAGATGCTACCTCATAGAAGAAAAACGCAACCCTCCGAAGAAGAAAAACGCAACCCTCCGAAGAAAAAAAACATCATCACGCGAAGAAAAACAGAATAAGTTGCAGATGAGGAGGACAGCCACGATTTGAGGAGGAGGCGGAGGGATGAGGAAGAAAAACAGATAGAAGAAGATGCACGATTTGAGGAGGAGGCGGGAGAAGAAAACCATGAAATTTTTGAACTAGCTAGTGCGTGCAATACACCTTCTTTTAAGCATCTGTGGGTTATTTACGTCGGCCCTAATTGGGTCCGACGTAAATTTTAACATCTACGTCGGACACAATGCATAGCCGATGTAGATGTTGAAATTTACGTCGGACCTAAATAATTTAACAAAATTACGAAACGTGCCACCGCATTTTTATTACGTCGGGTCTTTGTATATCCGACGTAAAATGGGTGACGTAGTATCCTATTTTTCTACTAGTGTAAAGATTTTCAAACAATTTTATGTAGAGTAACTCAATTAAAATGAAGTGTCAACATGATATAGAGTAACTCAATTTTTATATTATAAATAAATAGTTTAAAGATAATCAAAAGTAAAAAAAAAAAAACAATGACACTAACACTCAAACATTTTATGTGAGACTCTAAATTACTAGACATAAATATATTGTTTTGATTTATAATTAAAAAGGGGTAGATCAAATTTAATTATCAGATCAATTTTAAAATTGATTTTATATAAACAACGTAGTTTTTTATGCTAAAATCCTAATTTGGTACTTTATAATATTAAAAAAAAATTAATTTGATTTCATTTTAATTTATGAGTTCAATTTAATCCCAATTTATTTTAAAATACTTTAATGTGGGACTTCCGTCCAAATTTTACAAACGGTGTTAAATCATTCTCACCCATGATTTGGAATCACGGGCTTGATTCTCATGGACCTTTGCATCCAGTTGGCATCCACGTGATCAAGATTTAACACCGTTTGTAAAATTTGGACGGAAGTCCCACATTAAAGTATTTTAAAAATTGGGATTAAATTGAACTCATAAATTAAAATGAAATCAAATTAATTTTTTTTAATATTATAAGAGACTAAATTAAGATTTTAACCTTTTTTTTAATTGATTTTTTTTTAAAAAACAGTGCAATTCAATTTTAAATTTAAATTGGCTCATTATAATTTTTTTTTACACACCCTAACTTGCACAACATATCAGCCAGCAGTCCTTTTACATTGTAGGATATTGAGTACTTTTATTATACCAAAATCACTAATGTGGGTGACTACAACTGAATCCCATCAATCACTACAGTGTCCACCAGCTTGTGCTTCGTAGCTTGCATTGAAAAACCTGAACTCAAAAGTTTTAAAACAATAAGCAACAATAGCACTCATATCTACGGTACAAACCATATATAGAGCATTGGTGGTAGATTCATTACCTGCTAGCCAGTGAGGTAATTTTGGGATGGTATGGATATGAAAGTTAGATGTTGTCCAATTCTAGCTTATCTTCCTATCTTGAATATTCCACCAACTGTCAAGTGATAACAAATGAATAAGATCTGATATAATACCACCAACAAATAAGGGAATTTTTTTTATAAAAAAAGGCAGGAAGCTATTGTAATAATTTACTCACCTCTTTAGCCAGTCCTTGTGCTTGCTCATAATAAGAATGGCTCGGTCCCAACCTTCAAGAGTCCAAATACGCAAATCTCCCTAATCTGTTCATTTGTTCAACCATTTTTAATATAGAAAGAGAAAAAATTTAAGGAGTCATTTTCCTAATTTTTCAATAGGATTCCAAAGGATTACATTTAGAAAACAATTGCATTATTTTAATATTAAAAATAATGTTTGCCTGTCGATCCATAGAGATATATATATTAAAAAGAAGGAAAAAGAAAACACCTTTTTTTATATAGAAATCTGGATATTATTGGACTTTTGAAACTGACTCTCTCTTTGGGAAAGTCGACAAGTTTGTAATTTGTACACAGGGCACATGTTGGATCATCCAATGCTCTTGTCCTCCATCGTCAGCAATGCTCTGCTCAAATTCATATGGCATATACCTGATATTGAGAACTTCAAGTTTCGCTAAGTGTTGAATGCCATAGGGTACTGTCTTGAGATGTTGGATTTTTTTTCTAATTGAAGCTTTTTCAAAGAATGTAGTGCTCCTCTTCCAATAAAGATGGAATTCAATTTGGACAAATATATAAGCTCTAGCTCCTTTAGTTTTTGAAACCCTCCATCTTGAAAATGCATAGTTTCACCTACGTAAGCATGAGAACTGATAGAGAGGAACAATAAATTTGGCATATCTTCCAGTGATTCCAATGGATCATTAGTTAAGTCGGAATTCTTCAAAGATAATTTCACAAGATTTTGAAGCTGAAGAATCCAATTTGGTAACTTTTTTAACTTCCCATTTAAGCAAAGCTTCCTAAGTGTAGATAGGGATGACATAAAGGGCAAGTCAATTATTTCATTGTCATCTTCTGGATAGAGTCTAATTTTTATCCAAAGAGGCTCATAAATATGTATTGCCTCTAATTGCATCTCATGTATTGAGGCACATAGAGTGTTTGTGTGTTCTTCCCTAAAACTAGCAATCCTCAAATCCCTTAAGTGCTTTAGCTTTCCTAGCTCTTTAATCACCAATCCGTCAGGATCTATTTTCAGTACACATATCTTTTCAAGGGATGTCATGCTTCCAAGACTATCCATTACTTCAATGGAAGATAATGTATCACCCAGAAGATGACGCAGCTTTCTAAGTTTGCTAATCTCCTTTGCTATGTAAGACACAAATGTATTTCGTACATCCAAGGTCTCTAAGCATGGTTTTAAATTGCGGTTGCGGTCGCGGTTGCAGTTACTACGGTTGCGGGTATTGCGGGTATTGCGATGCGGATTGCGGCTGTTGCGGTGTGAGATTATTAATTATTTTCACTAAATATAAAAAATTTATAATTATCAATATATATTTTATTTTTAAGGATTTATACATTTTAATTCCTTTTTTTAAAATATTCTATTATTTTAATGAATAATTTAATTTATTTTCAAATTATAGTATCAATTTATCGTATTGTGGATGTATTGCGGTACATTGTAGATGTGTTGCGGACGCAACACCGTTACGTTGCGGAAAAATGTGTGATTTCCAGTATCATCGCAATTGCGGTCCGATACCGTTGCGGACAAGGCCGCAACAGCAATATTGCGGCCGCAACACGTGTTGCGGTCCGCAATTTAAAACCATGTCTCTAAGTTTTGGAGCTTACCAATGAATTTTGGAAGACTTTGTATCCGTGTATACCTGAAGCTTAGATACTTCAAGTGGATTAAATTCCCCAAATTTTCAGGAACTTCATACAATTGACTGAATTGAGCATAACCAAAATCAAGTACCTTCAACGGCATGTATTTTGCAAGGATTTCGCCCATCAAGTGTTCACATAAAATTTCCTTTGTGAAAATTAGAATTGACCGAATGTGTGATCTTTCAACTCTAATCAAATCATAAGAACCTGCTGTTATTGTTAAGCGTCTAACGATCCCACTTGACATTAATTGATTATGCTCATTAAAATATTGACAAAATCCTGTTTCCTTCACTTTTCTAAGGATCATGTCATGTATTAAGTCATGAACACGACATCCTTTAACTTTGCCATCAATGCTAAATGAAGATACTTGCACCAAACTTCTACGGATCAACCCTGATAAATCTTCTTGTGCAACTTCTTCCAAAGTTTTTCCGATTTCATGTTTGACAAGCCCTTCACCTACCCACTGACTAATCAATCTACTTCATTTAACTTCATAGTCTTCAGGATACATTCCAAAATACAAAAGACATGGTTTAAGATTGTAAGGCAAATCTTCGTAACTTAGACTTAAAATTCTAGTTATACTATTTAACTCAGAATTCCTCTCCAACTTTAAACTTAGATTTTGACTAAACAATCTCCATTCGTGTGCACTTTTATTTTTCTGGGATAAAAGACCACCAATGGCCACAATTGCTAGAGGTAAACCTTTACACTTTCTAACAATTTCAACAGATATATCTTTAAGCTCTTCTGGACAACATCCATCAGAACCATACTTAAATGCCTTGTTACAGAACAATCTGTAACATTCTTCCTTACTTAATGGTTCTTCTAGCTTATGCACTTCAATAAACGAAGATTTCTTACAGAAGTCCGCAACTTCCTCGTACCTAGTTGTGATTAATATCCTACTTTTATTGTGATCATCTATCACAACAGATTCAATGTCATCCCAAAATTTTTCTTCCCACACGTCATCAAAAAAGACAACGTACCTCTTGTTACGCAATTGCTTTTGGATTTCTTCGATCAACGACCTTCGATCCATCCGAGAAGCACTTGGAGGAATATCCTTCATGCTGTCACAGCAAAGCTTGTCCAACATATCCGTTAGCAATGCTTCTACATCGTAGTATTGAGACACTGTGATCGATGCATGGCACTCGAAGTCCTTATAGACCTTGTCAAAGACTTGCTTGGCAAGAGTGGTTTTTCCCACTCCTGGAATTCCTACAACGGAGATGACTGTGCGTTCTTGTCGTCCCTTTGTCAACAAATTTTTCAAAACAAGTCTATGGCTGTCAAGGCCCACTACCTCATCTTCCTTAATAAAGAGAGGATCCATTCGAAGTTTGAGCCATGGCACATTTTTATTTCCTCTAAAACCGCTTGTTCTTGGTTCTAAAGGAAATTGCCTTTGGAAGCCATCTCTTTCAGCAGAAACAAGTGATTTAACATCCCGAAGATTATATGCTATTTGAAGGCGAGGGATGAGAGTTTTGAGGAAGTCAACAGCCTCACATAGTAAAGCTGCACATCGAGGGTCATCAAGGTGGTTTTCCTTATTTTCAATGATCTTATATTCATCAATGACATCTTCCATGCGAAAAGCTGCTTCTCTCAGTCGCATCACCCTTTTTTTTATTCTATTACGCTTAGCATCACCTTCTTCAGCTTCAGCCACTTTATCAGCATCATTGATGAAATCTTGAAAGCTCTCTAGTTCTTCTGTAATGTCTGCAACTTCTTTTGGGAGGTCTCTAAGCATTTTCAAGGCTTCAACAAGTTTTGGAAGCAAATGCTCACGAGCCAAGGACACTGCAGTTTCTGCCATTTCAATCTAGCTCTCTTTTTTGGTTTTGTGTTTGTGGTGAGTGCAAAACATCTCTTAATAGTGGTTTTAGTCATAAAATTTGGCACGGCCAAATTAAAATATCATCCACTTGTCCATAAACACATGGTAGCTAGTTTGACTCACATGAGCGCTGGCCAAGTTTCAGACACAGGTGGGAACGTGCATGGTTGCTAGAACTGACTTTGCAATTTGTTAATGTTGATTAGTTGTCTCCATATCCGTATCATATCACGCTACCCAATTTTAAATAAGTTGCTCATATAATATTGTTAAATATCATGTCATGTCATAAAAAGTCTTCGCATCAGACAATAAAAGCAGATTATGGGTCAATCTGGATCTGTTTAAATACAGTTTCAAATCTGATTCAATGTACCACAAAAATATTGTAGAGCAAGTCGTGAAAATATTGTGATTTAGCTAATCTTCCAATCAATGCATTTAAACAATAATATATGTTATGGAGAACGTGCGTGTTGTTTGGTGCTTGACAGCATTATTTTTTCGTGGAGTCAATTTCAGGATTTTCACTGGAATTCCAAAGTACTAGAAAAATTGTTGATATGATGTTAGACGAGGGAATAAGTTAACAGCATAGAACTCTCCGTGAAAAGTGCTTTTCTAGTGGACTCGTATATATGTAGGATCAGTCCCTTCCATTACACATTTATACCAAAAGCTTGAGCTATTATTTGTTTATTGCTTCATAGAGAGCTGCATGAAACAGCAAGGAGTTGCACCAGATATAGGAAGGCACCACGTGCTGAATTGTTAAGTCCGAAAATCCTTAGTCACACCTGCCTGAATATTAATAGAACTGTATTGCCCCAATTCCTGCAACACTGTCCATCATAAATTGCATTCTACATTGCTGACCTTCACTCCCTGAAATAAGGTTTATCCATGATATTTACTATCATCAATACCACCAAGTGAATCAAAAAATACACCACAAAAAATGAAAATTTAAAACAAAACATAGCAACTATTGCTGTTGAAGTCCAACACAACCAACCGGCCAGTTGGACCTGTTGAATTGAAGGGTTAGACCAATTCAACCACGGATATGTTGTTTATTACTTTTAAAAAAAAATTCAAAAGAAAGTACAACATGTGAGAATCAAATCCTGTTCATGGGAGGTATGAGATTGAGGCAAGCGCACCAAGTCACTATAGTATAGAAATTTAATACGAGTCTTTGAACCTAGGGACTTGAAAGATATTTACAATTTATGATACCCTAGTAAAAACTTGAAATAGAAAGATCACGAATATTATATGATGTTGTTCATGTTTCAATATAAGAATTATAAAAAGATAACAACAAAGCAGTAGTAAAAATGAAAGATAATAGTATGCTAAGTTGTTGGGATTTATATTATTTGTATATGATTTGTATATGATTTCTATCATCCAATGTTATTGAGTTTATTAAAGTCATGCCAAATCAATTCCTTGCATTTAGAAATTCTAAGGAATCTAACTATCAATAAATGATTCTTTTATTTATCAAATTAGAAACCTTGCATT